AATCAATTACTGTACGTAAACACATTTATTTTCAAAAATTTAATATTCCATCTAATGTTTGGTCATCTTGATGCTGTACTTAATTATTATATTCCACAAAGTATATTGTTCAGATATATAATTTTAGGCAATGACTGTAAAAAGATAAATCGAGATAATCATGGAAATGATCTGAACTTTAAATGCTTTATAGTTTTATTCTAATATTACAGTATTTTTTTGGTAAAATCACTTAAACATCCTAAAGTAAATGTTATTATTTTTCCCAGATTATAACTGTTGCCGCCATGGTTCACGTTTGTACATTGCCGTATCGTGTGCTATTAACTTGGTAGTAAAATGATAATGTTATGAGGAGAATGTTTATGTAAACAGGCCCATATAGGGCAGTAAACGATCCGATGGCAGGTGGGCTGCGTTTATGGCACTTGATACGGTTATAATCAACTTCAACAGAACGCAACCGAGAATGTGGATAATACTCTACAATTTTCAAATAATTTCGTTTGTTTCACAAATCTTTATGGAACCATAGATTAAACACTCTCCCTTATAGATTGTGCGTTATTTTTGATCAGCACAATGTTTAACGTTTGTTCTGTCCGGCTCGTGTGGGGCGAGTTTTCGTTTACAATATTTGTCTTGTTATATCGCTTTTTTAGACTAGTTGAACAAAAAAAAAAAAAAAACACCACCGCCTCAACAAACTTGCAGACTAAGTGAATTTCCATGTATCCATTTACCTGGCTGGATTTCTACTAAAATATCCCCTTGTGTCAGATTTATTTCCTATTTAAATGACAATAATTTTAACGAATACATAGGTTTGCTGCTACAGTGAGTGTATTGAGATGTGTTTTTTTATGCTGATTGCTTAGTGCAAAATTAATGAAATGACAAAATTTGATTAAAATATATCCATAACAAGCAATCTACAACATTATTTATTCTCCATAAGAATAACATGGAAGTTTTAAATTGATATTTTTTAATTATCTCCGTAACCGTTAGGCATACAACAACACTTCTACATACAAAATTGTTTCTTTTTTAAAGCTATACAAAATGGTTGAAAGGAAATTGAAGATTTTTTGTTTTCAGGACAAAAAGTAGGGAAGCCCAATTTTTACCCCATAAAACCCCCATAAACCCCTGTTCCCATAGTCCGATCATGCTGGTTCGTGATCTTTTTGTATAAACGTAGGCTTACACCTGAAAACGAAAACTCAAATCGGTCCCGGGTTTAGGTCTTATCATGAGACCTACGGTAATAGCTTATTCTCTATATGGGAAATTCGCTAAAAGAACTGTGGGGCTATGTTAAAGTTTCGTCCTTTGTTTTACAACCAAACAGTAATGCAACAATAACAAAATTTGCAGTAACAATAAGATAAAACAATTTTGTCAACACTAGCGCTTAGCGTCACCTTCATGATCCCTACATAAATCCAGGAATAGGATTTTACAAATGGATTAGAAATCCACGTGTGATAGTCTATAAAACCTTCATTGACTTTTTACCTTTCTTAGCAAAAAATAAGGGTTACCGTACCTATGGTACTGTCCAACTATGGTTTAACGTTGGCGTGACATCTTCGTCGATGGTAGTACCAAGACCAGCAATATCTTATTTCCTTATCTTTTAATATCCTTATATACTTTTTAGGTTAAATGTATTAGTATATGTGTGCTTCTACTGGAATATATGTATTCCAGCTGTAACTGTGAAAGTGTAATAATGTTTTCATTATATACTCTTCATATTACTCTAGTATTAATTTTTTTCCATAATCTCTAGCTCGAATATATTTCAATCGATGTAAAAAAAAACTATTAGTAAGTGTACAACTTGTTAAAACAGAATTTTTGGATTTCGAAATTTACGGTTTTACTTCTTAAATTGTTTACAAAATTTGTTATAACAATTTTAGAATACCATATTTAACTAGGACGTTTTTACTAGGTGAGTTACTTGCATTGAATTCAATATTTAAATATATTACAATCCATTTTTAGTTTCTTAGACAAGTTTAAACTGATAAATTTGATGTGAAAATATTTGTTCATGTGTTATTTGGCATTAAAAATCCTTCATGTACTGCACTAATCAGACAAAAATAAATTGAAGGATCTATATCAATTTGTGTTAAGTTTTAACAATGTTGAGTCAAATAGCAAAACCATTTAACCTGTGAAATTATAATTAGTATTGTTTAGTAAATAAAACATTTAATTACACATCGTTAAACTATACTTTTACGTGATCACTACTGCGAACTAAATGTCTTTAATTTTAATGATTCAAACCTATTTCATGAGATACCTAAACACGTATTTCTTCTTATTTATATTTGTTTATATAACTTGAATTGTATTTTTGTTTTGTTAAAGTAAATTATTTAATTTAGTTTTAGTTCTAAAATTTAATTTTAATGTTAATTTAGAAATACATTGTAATATTTCGTATTTGTAACATTGTTTTGTAAAAGATATGTTTGGAATAAAAAATCTTGAATCTTGAATCTTTTTTTCCCTGTTATAAAGGATGTAGATGCAACAGTTTTAAACATATTCAACTATCAAATCAACTCGATCCCGTGAAAACAGTAAGACCATTTTATACTGTGACGCGATGGTTTTGGATGTATAGTTATAACAAATGGGGACAACAGAATGACGTAATATTTCCTTTATCATGTAAATTTTCAACAGGCTGCTGAATGCTCGGTTGGATCGTGGAATACGATTAAATGTTTAATCTCGTTAAATACTTAAACCGGTCGGGATTCACAAAACTTTCTACCCTGTTATGTTCTGGATCCCAGGTTTATGTTGCATTTTATCCTATCTGCAAAACATGGAATAGCAATTACAGATATGTATCGTTAAAATTATAGATTTATGATGTATGGTTATGGAGTAGAACATACATTAAGTTTTTATTTATTTTCCATTCTTTATTTAAATTTATATAACACAATATAACTTTAATAATGAATGCGCTAAATAGTTTTTACAAATGAAATACCAACGTTTGTTCTATTTATTTACAGCGCATTGTTTGTAAAATTAAGTTAAGCAAGTAAAGTTAAATGATTGTTTTTTCGCAATTGGTGTGCATGGGATTTAAGTAGCCTAAAATCTTTAAGCATTCTAAGTCATGAATATTTATTTATATTTACAGTGGAAATATTTGTTTGAAAATAATATTGACAATACGTTAGTTATTGTTATCAAGGATTGGATTGACTACATAAAAGTGGTAACTTTAATTATATAGATTTTATAGTTTTATCATACCTCACCATACTAGAAGATTTCAATTGCACCTGTTTGGTTTAAAAATAGTTTTATATCACCAAAAAGGTTATAATACAATTTTATAGGCTTACATTCATTATGAGAAATAAATCCCAATAAACAAAACAATTTGTGTGGACAGTCGAAGCTATCTTTGAGAAGATTCTTCTGACATTGTTACTCCTTAAATAACAATTTACATTACTTTATGTTTTAGCATTGACTATTGGATACAGAAGTTGTTGTATTAATAGTCAAACGTTTTAGTCTGCAAAAACAAATTATGAGTTTAAAATAATACTATTGTAAGTTATAAAATTAATGATTTAAGGTATTTTTATATACTGTGTGTAAATATTGTAGGCCTAATTTAAATAATAAAAAAAACTATTTATTTTGAAATATTTTACCATATTCTTATTTGAAACAGATTTTTTTTGTAAAATGATAGTTATTATTTTACTATAAACATAAAATTGCGTGCTTTTTTCTAGCTTACTTCTTCTTTTTAATTATAAAAGAAACTGCAATAAGTTAGTATCACTATGTAAGCAATCGACCAAAACTTAAGTTTGTTGGGATTAGGGATTTTTGGAGGGTAATATGCAATGCTCTGTGTTTTATTGAAGATTTTCTCTGATACTATTCTCTCTATGGTCGAGTTACAATGCTATTTATATTACTTTTTGAACACTACTTTTTGAGTTGGCCTATTTTGCAGATGATATTTCTTTAAGTTGTAGACTAAACATTAAACATACTTAAGGGTTGCTTCATGGATATAAACGCAAATTGTTTATCCTAAAAATTATCAAATAACATAAACCTTTCGAAACTAAATATTATATCACTTTTGACGTGTTTATTTTTACTTTGAGGTTGAATTTAAATATTATGGAAATTATATATTGATATAACTGACAAACCAGGCCTAGATGAAATAATATTAACTACTGAAACTAGATTTAAACTAGATAAAGATTTAAATATAGATTATCTCTGTGATTATAAACAAATTGAATAGGGCGATTTTGTTTATGAATATACAGTTACAGTTTATATATACCTATGATATACAGTTATTGAAAGGTCGCCGGTTCGATCCTGAGAAAAGTCAGTAGCTTTTTGATGGTTCGAAACTGGACCCAGCTGTTCCTGATCATTGGGCTTTAAATAAATGATCCTGGCTAATGAAACAGCTGATCTTAGTCAGTAACAAAGCTACACAGGTCATCTCACACCATTCTACACTCATCCTTCACTCATATTTGGGTTAAAATACGCACCTAAGTGTCGTCCCCATCTTAATGATTGATTGATTGAGTGATTGATATTGTCAAAATCTCTTAACCTTAGACGTTTATCGATTAGAACAAAGTGTGTCCACAAACGTGTAAAAAACGTGTAATGAAATTTATAGACGAGTAGTTACTCTTTATTTTGCATTCTAATGTCTTTTTATAATATAAATTGTTTTATAAATATTGTACAGATACTTTTAAATGTTACTAATTTCAGTTTCATTCACAAAATATTTTACCCTTAACCGTAGTTGATTCAAATTTACTATTTTTTACTTCGAAAATATCCCATGCTGATCATTTGAATTATTACCACTTATTTCATCTTATTACTCGTAGTAATTCGTAAATATACATAAATTTACCATTCAACCAACACAAAATAAATCTCAATCCAACCTCTAGCAATGATAGCTGACTGGGTAATCCTGACGGTGAGAAGGGCCAGAATCCAGCCGACGGCGTTGCGTAGATCTCCCATGGCACACACTCGCGACAGCACAAGTCACATGGAACAAACCACGACACGTAGAGGCTGGCCCAGCGACAGGCTACTCGCGCGTCCCACGCTGAACTGCCTCTGACAACGCGCGCAACAACAATGCGACAAGCGCGCATGTGCACGACGCGACGTGTGTCGGGTCTCGCCCGGGCATTCGTAGATTGTTGGCCGTCGCTGCAGCCGCTCCGAAGATCCAAGAATATTCAAGGAGCTCATTGCGATTCAGGGTGAAATCAGCCCTAGTGAGGCGGAATGAGTGCTGAATAAATTGGGCCCCGAGGGACCTTTTGCAATTTTACCTGGATTTGTATTTGAATAATGGTTCTTTATAGGTTAGATTATGTGTGGGCGTTTGGAGTTCGAAAGTATAAAATGATGCGTAAGAGTTGATTTTAATTTAAAATGGATTTATATGGTAGTTTGATCAAAATATTGTCAATTATATAATTGCAGCGTGTTAGTAATAGTGACATATTGGTAATTATACTATTATAGTATTTAAAATTCCCATTAGCTAAATAAACTTGGGGAAGTAAGAAGTAGGGGTAAATTTAAAATGTGTACTATTTCATTTACGAAATTCTTCTTAAGGGTCCTTGAAGCCTATACATTCCATCTCAATAAATTTTAAAAATACGAAGGAAATTTGTAATCCCACAGTATACTAAATATTTAAATTACAATCACTTTGGTATTTGAAAAATATATTTAAATAGTAAATAACTCTTAAGCGGCTGTAAAAAAATAACATTGCTCTTATTGTGGGCAAATCCAAGATGGCCGTTGGCTTCCATGAACTCCCTTGGAAACCAATTAAAAACTTATAGTATGCAAGGTATTTACATTATAATCACTTTGGTGTTTGAAAAACTACTTTTTGATGTCAATTAACTCTTCACCAGCTATTTAAAATCGTCAAAGATGAGCGCTACCCTACAAGGACTCACTATGAACATATAATAATGTTGACGTCATCATTATAACACGATTACGTCACTAAAGACGTAATTATCACATCAAGATCACCAACTCGGCTGACGATATGACTATTTATAAAGCCAAAGCTTTTTGAACTAAATTTATTATATACTTTTTTACATACTAACGCTATCAATATAAAGTTAGCCAAATGGGATTACTTATCATGGTGATAATGAATTGTTGTTGTGTGGTAATGAATTGTTGTTATATAGCCTTCAAACTAGATTGAACGAAAAAGTTCATGTTGGTGCAAAATTGGAAATTGTTCAAAACTTCTAGCTTCTAGAAGCGTATCCCAATTAACTTTGGAAAAAAACGTTTGATATAACTTTATGGATATTGACATGATGTACAGTAGGCTATAGTAAGCATTAACTCGAAAACTAGACTTTTAAGCCGTCAAATCTGATGAATGTAATAACAGACTTCCAAATAGTGTAATAATGGATGTTTACTTTATTCCTTTAAGAATATGACTTATAATTTATACAGGGTGATTGAAAAGTCTGGGTACGGCTTAATATTTTAAAACATAATGCAGATTGAGCTACAATACTTGGTACAAAGTTACAGGGCATAAAACTCTATTTTAACACATATTCAGTGATCCAATAACTCTTCAGGGGAACGGCCCACAAAGAGTCGGAAGAAAATCTTAAATAGAAGCATAGGTCAATAAGCACATCAAATTAAAGGTCTTTTTTAGTAGAATACAATGCCGCAAACCGTACTTCAAAAGGTTGATCCTGCGCAAAATGGCAGATGCTCAAAGATTTCTTGAATCCGCCATTTTGAATCTTTGAACGACTGTCATTTTTTACTCAGGCATTCTTTTGAGCTTGAATTTACGGCATCGTAATCTACTAGTGAAGACCTTTAATTTGATATGCATATCGACCTATGCTTACGTTAACAATTTTCTTCTGATTCATAGGGCTGTGCCCCCTGAGGAGTAAGCGTATAATAGCAATGTAAATTAAATGAATCTTTGAACAACTGTCATTTTGCGCAGGATCAACCTTTTGAAGTGCGGTTTGCGGCATTGTATTCTACGAAAAAGACCTTTAATTTGATGTGCATATTGACCTATGCTTCCATTTAAGATTTTCTTCCGACTCCTTGTGGGCCGTCCCCCTGAAGAGTTATTGGATCACTGAATATGTGTTAAAATAGAGTTTTATGCCCTGTAACTTTGTACCAAGTATTGTAGCTCTATCTGCATTATATTTTAAAATATTAAGCCGTACCCAGACTTTTCAATCACCCTGTATTACGAAATAAAATTAATGTAAATTGAAAAAATGGGTATTCCCGGAATTCTTTATCATCCCTTACATTTCAAATGTCAGTTTATGTGATAATATTTTTCTTCAGTGATAAAATGACTTGACTTTATTTTACTGTATATAGTTTAAGTAGTATCAATTACCATAAGCACAAAGAATAACGTGTTACATAAATAATCCATATTTGCTCCACTGAAATGTTACAAAAGGTATGTTGTTTGTCAACTTTAAAGTGTGGCATTTCAAGTGAGCATTTTGTATGCATCGAGGTTACGAGAATGTCTAATAAAGAGCTTGACCCTTGCAAGAGGCGTAATTTGTTGTCCTCGTCATCGTATTAATATGCATCCAAGAATCTCCAGTCTCCTAACCAAGAGCGTTCGTTATCTAAAGTATTTAATATAGAATACTGTTACTTCTCAGATCTATCGATATTAAACATAATTATTCACTAACATGAGTAGGTTATCTGAAATAATTTTAAATGTTCAAAACTAGCTGCTTGAACAAACATTTTTCTAAACTAGTAACTCTATATGTAATTTAAATCATTTTCCAATTAAATTTCATTACGGTCACGTGAAATGCTTTAGACATTAAATAGATAATAGACATTAAAAAAGTACATTATATTACCCTAGTGACGTGTATGGAAGCTCGTTTAAATATATGCAGCCGTTTAAAAATAAACCAGGGGGAATATTATGGGACACCCGGTAGCCTATAATACAATTAAAGACAGTTTTATATAGTATTTATGTAAAGTAAAAAACAAAAAAAAACACTATCTATAAAATATAGAAAGTTGAACAAATAGAACAGAATTGACTCATTTTATGTCAATAGATCAATCCTAGAGGCAAATTATGTATGAATTGAAAAAAATAGATTTATGTTACAAAATTAAACACATTTTTTTTTACACTAACTGACAAGGGTCTTATCAAGAAGTGGTACACCACTGTTTTGTTTTTTTGACACAATATATAATGATAGACTAATTTAGATTGCGTTTTTCAGTTTACCTAAGCTTGATTTTATGGGGAAAATGTTAGGTCCCCATTTCTTAAAAAAATATACCCTTTACTAAGCTAATTATCTACTTACACAATGACAAAGGAGCTACTTTTGTATTTATTAAATGTACACAGCCATCCCTAAATTAGAGTGAAACATTCAGACACGATTTCACCATCAACACCTCGCTAGTAGAGTGATGTTGAAGAGTTAAAGATGTTGTGATGTTGTGTGGAACTCCACGATGTATAATGAGCGTCGGTCTCATGGTGTAAGTGGAGTAATGAGAGTCTCATACCTCTAAACCCTCCCACACCCTCTATCTCTCACCCTCTACCTGCGTCAATGGGAACTTATTTTGGTCCTTCTACACTCCACATCCTCAGACACTTTGTTTTATTGGATTCGATCGTGATTATTGCATTTTTTCCACGTTTATTTCAGCATGTTTCTAAAAGGTTTTACAATAAATTAATTTCAGATATTCAACTTTTAGCTTTTATTAGTAAGTTTTCCTATTTTATATAAACTTTTTTTACGTCTTATGTGAAAAACAAACTATATCAATTAGTTGAGAGGTGGCCAGATGTGTTACCGTAGTTGATATATACTCAAAATTAAAAAAAATATATATGTATTGTACTTAAAATTAAATCAGTTATTAAAAAAAAAGCTTAGTAATTTAGTTAGCAGGGAGAGATTTCTTTATATTTTTTGAGGTAATATATGTAATATAATATTAGTTTATCATATTTATGTCTAATAATGATTTATTTGGTCCATATTACTTTTTGTTGTAGTTCTTACAAAATTTATCATAACAGAGGGCACCATTTTTTACTAAATAAGACAGAAATAAATTAACTTCAAATTATATTGTTTTTTTTTTTTTTTTTTTTTTATATTGATATTGGATATTATGAAACGAATTAATATTAAAAAATTGAAACGAAAACATATAACTTATAAACATTAGTATAATTAAAGAAAATATATCAAAACGTAATTGTCATTTTATTTGACAGTTTGTTTTCTCTAGAAAAGGTAATAATACTATTACTACACTTACTTTTTAGAAGTCTTAGATATTATAAACATCAGTTATAAGCTATACTTGTTTAAATATATATTTATTCACAACAACAGTACTTGGGCCTATCGTCACTCATGCCAGTTTACTTTAAATGAAAACAATTTACCTATTGAAACAATGTGCATTCTTTGAAAACCCCCTTCTCTGAACGCAGCCAAAATCCAAAAATCTGATTACGAAAGAAGTCAATTATCTCTTATGTAAATTAAAGCTTAATAAATGTAAAATCCTTAGAAGGTGGGGGTGGGGAATATTTAAGTTGCAGAAATCATTGGTATTATGTGATTGGAATATCAATGTGGTGGGGGAGGGTGAGTGGCTACCGAGATAAAACATTAAGTCCCAATAATCTGACAAGAAGGGGAGACTGAATTAGCGTTCCGTTATTCTTTGCGGTGCCCCGCAACAAAATTGGTTCCAAACAGTTTGGATTAGCCAATTTATTCCACTCGATACAAATAACAACCGTTGGTATTTTACATTTATACAGACATGTCGTACGCCATCCGATTTGTTACATGTTGTTTATCGCAGCTGTGTGGTTGAAATTGCTCCCTATAAATGTAAATGCATATTTCAAAATACAAACACCATCAGTTAAGAGTGTTTAATTCTATGTGATTAATTCATTTTGTATGTTTACGTATGTAAATACATGACGAAAGACAATTTATTCT